ATAGGGTGAATACATCTCATTACACTGAGTTACTGGTAGTCTCGAAACCCTACTTTAATACGAATACAAGGTAGCTTAGTTGGGCGCACCTTTTTATAAGTCCTCTGTTATAGTAGCTATGATAATTGCAAGAATTGGACCGTGGACTTGGTGGATTCCCAGACGTTTCGCTGGCATCGGCAGTGAGTCTTGCTTTACTTAGAACCAAGCTACAACTCATCAAAAAAACAAGTGACGTCAATACCCTGACCAACTTTCTTCTGAAAGATTGTGTTATCACTCATGCCCTGTTACGGCTACCAAATACTTATCCTTATATCTGACTCCCTCTTTATCACAACTTCTGACTTGGTAAGTCTTTTTTGACGAGTTTAGCTGGGCTTTATCACATCTGCTTGTTTACCTTGCCCTCCTCTTCCTCAAGTAATTAGAATTGTAGATACGACTCAAACCTCCTATCCGAATCTCCTTCAAGCCCCTAGAGATCCGTTTCTTATCTTACTGGTTGACTGGTTTCACTCAGTTCGAGCCACAATGACTACTCATCCAAGTTGTGGAAACGAGGCTAAACTACTTAGACCAAAACAGAGGCCACAATAGCTTGGTCTTCATATCTAAAATCTCATGTACATTTTAAAATCTACAACGCTTTTAAAATTAATTTTTTTCCAAGTAAAAATCATTATTATAATGTTGGATTAAAAATTTGAATAGAATTGCACTAAATTTTTACCTAAACATAAGAATGAATTCATAGATGGTGATGGTTATAACTCTAAAACCAGAAGAAATCAAGAATTACTGAATTCAAGAATATTGCTGTGGACCCATTCGGCTAATTTATTATTCTGGACAGGCATGTACTTAAATAAGAGCTTTAGTCTGGAAATACTACTCAAAACGGATAAAAGTTGCTTAATTATCTTCTATTATTGACTCTTTATAACCTTTTTATGTTATTTTGCTATGCAAGATCCATTCAAACACACCAGGTGCTTAGTTATAAGTGAATGCTTAGTCTGCAATGATAGCCATATATGTCTGATTTAACACTTGTAATTATTAGGAAAGCATGGATGAAGTACCTTAGTTAATATATCAATTTACCTATAGCCAAGCTCAAGAATCCAGACAAGAATAAAAAAGACATATCTAATTTTCTAAGTAAAATTAAGGAATACTTCCTTATTTACCCGAATACTTTTATTTCTTCATAAATTAAACCAATTAGTTTTCAATTATTCTTTCTTACTTGGTTGGGTTCCGAGAAGTTCAGAGAATGAAATAGAGTGTACTGAAGTCATCCTTTTATTTTGCGTCTGCTCGATCTCTTCTAGAATTTGATTGTTTGGATTATTTGGATGCAAACCTTTTACAAGTTCTGTGCTTCCATCGTACAATTGAAGTTGGTTGCACATAGTAGATTCATGTTCTAAAATTTTGTTAGTATTACTGCCTTCGAACATTTTCGAGGAAGCTTCGTCAGGGCACTGATCAAATCCAAGATCATTTGTGACAGAAATCTGGTTGGCCTCATTGTTTATTTGTAATGAAGACCCAAGTATTCTTGGTGGAAATGCGTTATTTAAAGAAGGGTCCGGAGCAGGAGACAGAATATTGCCATCACCAGAAAGGTGGCAGAAGAAACAAGGAGGCGTTGGGATGGAGGCGATAAATGCAGCCGGGGAGATCACATCAACCAAGGATCTGCGATATTTCAATGTAATAAAATGTGATAGACATAAAGATATTAGATCCAAATTTGGAAAAAAAACTAATTTTCAAATATATGTAATCACATAAAAATCAGATCAAAAAATCTGTTGTCACGATCATAGGTCATTTTAATACTTTGAGCTTTACTTCAGATCTGTCTAATTATATGCGTATTACTTAACATTTAACAATGTATAGTAATTGCGTCTAGCCGAGTTGTTATTTACATACCCTGACAAATGAGATCCAACATATTTCGGATCTGATAAATGCCATTAAATTGATACTTATTAATGATTTGACGGTTCTATTTGCACATCACTCAGCCGTATACTTTGTCGAGACTAAAAGATGCTTAGCATATTATGATTAAAGCCCCTTATAACCTCTGACTCTCCTAATAAAAATTAATATGTGTTAGTAACATCACCTCGCGATCCAGAGATTTCTTTTGTCCTAAGATCTGTGCTCACCATTGTTATCTTCAATCACAGATACCATAGTTTATATCGTTCTACTCAACCTTTTTAGATGATGCATCTTTTTGTCTCGGTATCATCGTTAGTAGCCTCTTCATATATGCATTAACGCATATCTCCATGACGCGTTGAGCTATACTAGTAAAAGCAGTCTTCATAATTCCCTCAGCCGAGGACGATCGGACGATGTCATAGATATAGCTTTATATCCACTGCTTTAATCTATTCTTCACGGGATTGCAATTGACAGCATGAAGTAAAGAGTCCTATTTTATTAAATATTTTACGCAAAAAGAACGATCAAGCTCAAGATGTGTAAATCATAAAAATAGATGAAATTGGAGGAAGGAAAATTGAGTAAAGGTCTTACCTGTTACTGCTGTACGAAAATGTCAAAAATTAGACGATTTAGATGCATTTCGAAATTTTATTACAACTAAAATTTTCGTCTCTATATCTCTTATAATCAAACTTCAGAATACTATAGATATTATTATTTTTATTTTTATTTTCTTATCAAACTGGCCCAAGTGAAAACATTAACATTGACTTTGCGTTTATAAAACTGCGCACCTTTAGCTGTCAAGGTCGTGGACTCAAAATTGCAGTCACATTTAGAGACACAAAATCCGAGACATAATCATGTTTTACAATGCAAAGATGCCTATGCATCTAAAGTCTTTGGGCCAGTAGGCAGAACGCTCGCATCATTTGGGGTCATAATTA